GTGTTGACAACTATCCACACAACAGATCCTATCGGATAACGCTCGCGCTAGTTGATTTTAGCGAGGCTTTTGGCTCCATTAGCCATCGTGTCCTCGGGCGCCAGCCAGCCAATGTGCCACGGTGAATAGCCGAAGGTAGTTGCAGAACTTCCTGCCAATTGAACGCCCAAGCGCCTCGGCCGTACTCCAATGACTCGATATTAACGACGGCCTCCGCACCGCAAAGTGTTCTCAACGAAATTTGCTTCAAAGCGGGCGGCTTTTGTCCCTGCACGGCCGGCCCCAACGCGCCCCAATTGTATCGTGTGCCCAGGCGTCCGGGAACAGGGGGGTCGAGGGATGAATTGTTCACTTAAACCTCCTTCCTCTGCCTGCGTTGCCCAACGGCATTTCATCTTCGCCCAGAAACAACAAATATATGTTTAACGCACCTTAAAAGGGAGCTGCCTAACGGGTGGTGTCTAAATTCTGCTGCATTTAAAAGGGCCCCTGCTCACTTTGTGGTGGTGGTGGGGCAGAGGGGACCAGTTGCGATTGCTGCCCGCGCGAAGCGGTGTACATTGGCAGGGTAGCACTGCATAACCCATTGGAGGCGATAAACACATCAGGCGTTGGCTCGCTGCCCGATGCGGGCAAACGGTGTGGGCACTGCTCATGCCCCGGCTGCTCTGTAACATGGCACCCAAAAGGGCGGGAAAGCGTTCCATAGTGACCGGGGCGCCCCCCTGTACCAACGAGAGAGCGCTTCGTGAAGGCCAATGTTGGCTCTCACAAAGCGCTTGTTGGCCCACTCCGCCGCGACATTCAGGCCTTCCTGCGGGGCCGAGTGGAGGACACACCTACCGATGTGGCGCGTGGTGGGGGCGCTGCCATCGGTGAAGAAGCCATGGCGGACAAAAGCGCTGCAGCAAGATGGGCACTGTGAGTAAGCCCGTGGCGTTGATGAACAGGAAGGGGCCCCAACACTGCTCCCAGCGGAACTCTTCGCGCGAACGTTGCGCGAGAGGCGGTGGCTCGGCCGATGCCAAGCCCGGCGTGCCTGTTGCTTGGGGAATGCCACCCACCAGTTTACAGTGTGGC